TTATTAATTAATACAAGAAGCAAAATTTGTATATAGTCAAATGGGGAAAAAACCTATTTTGGAGTCACAAGATCAATTGTAATTTCAGGGACAGGGAGTGGATAGGGAGAGTGGAACCCCTCCCCCCTCCCCCTAGAATTTGCTTTGTTATTCAAATAAGACTATAAACTGAAGCAAAAAAAAATGACTTTGGACATTATCCCCCTTTTAAAACAATGACCCCACAACACCACTATCATTGATTTTATTTGGTTTTCATTTTTTTTCTTTTCTTGTGAGGAAATTCTGGGCTAGCATTTTTATGACTGAGGTATGAACCCCCCTCTTCCTTCTGAAAAAAAATCTGGATCTGCACCAGTAACTGAATGTCACATGGACAACGGGAGATAACTTCACAATGTGAAATTTGACTACTGTGGCATGCGATGATCTTTGAACTTTAACCTTATCTTTCGGTTTATTTTACCCCAATCTATACTTAAACTTGTACTTACCGACTGTCATAGGTCTCGTCAACTTCATGAAATAAAATCCAATTATAACACAAAATGAATATTTTCCATACACATCTGCACCATGTGCATGCTATGTAAACCTTGGATGATTCCGTTCAGTAGGAATCAGCCGAGGTGTGCCGAGTGTTGCCTAATCTAAAAATATGTTATGGGTGACGCAACCCAATGTGATGTAGAAATTTTCCAAAAGCTGTGTACAGGTAAAGATGTAAAGTTCAAAAACAAATTTTAATATATTAATTCATAACAAACTATTTTTTAACATAACTTTTTCATCTAGATGTGTAGCCTATTTAAAAAAACGAACGTTTCGTAAGAATAATTAATCTTCTAATTTTTTACCGTTAATGCTGATTAAGCGGTCACAAGGATCCGTTTTAACGGCTCCGCTTACGCGTCGCCGATAAAACTCAGTTTGCGACTGTTAAATCAGCATTAATGGTCGCAAATACTAAATAAGAAGACAGTTATTCCCTAAATGATCTTGCTGTTGAAAGAGGTAAATAAACATTTACTAACATAGTGTAAAGGTTTTTGTTAATGCAACGTTGCGCTTTAAGAACGGTCTCATTGTAATTGATACTATAAAATGCAGACATTTAAATAGCCTAGCTTTTAAACTTTATAAAAATTCTTCTGACACGTCAGTCGTGTAATACAATATTTATACATAGCAACAGACTATCTAAAGTTATATCACATAGTTTCGCCATTAAAGCTACCCATAAACACCAGGTAGGATATATCCCAAAAATGTATTCTTAACTTAATATGTTTAATTTTCTCTTCAAAGACATATTTCTTTATCATTTAATTGTTTATTCAAATTTATTATTCTATTTATACACATTCTATTCTCTTAAGTCAGAGATCTTCTTTCTTTCAGTGGCATGTCCTGTATCTTTTATTCCTAATCTGATTGACTAGAAGTATACAATTAAACTGTCCTATTACAGCGTAGTTCATTCTTTAAAAATTCTCTGATTTAATTGTTAAAATTCACCAGGAATAATTGTTGCATTTATGTACTTTCAAAAAGCACTACATTTAATGATGGACTCCCGTACAAGTGCATTCGACGTGATGCGATGTGACCTGTGTGAGACCACTGTGGTACAGATGCACTGTGATACCTGTTTTGTCAACCTTTGTAAGGCCTGTGTTGGAGAACACATCTTATCAAATGAATTCAAGGACCACAAGGTTGTCAAATTTCAGCTAGAAAAATCCACACCACTCTACCCGGATTGTGAATCTCATTACAAAGAACGATGTAAAATGTACTGTAATCAATGTGACATTCCTGTGTGTGACACCTGCTTTGCTTCTGATCAACATCTTGGTCATAAATTAACAAATTTCCTGCACATCCCTGATGAAATAAAAGAAAAGATAATGAAAAAACAAACTGAATTAAAAAATACAATTTATCAAATGTACCAGGTCAATACCTCTAATTTACAAAACAGGAGGAGACAGTTAGAAATGGAATATGAAGATCTCCCTACAGACCGAACGAAACATAAAAAGGACAGGCAAGGAAAATTTCGCATGATCTCAAAACGTCATTTAAGTTCAGGTGAAGATGACTACAGCATGAAGACAACACAGAAATCACCAGAAGCTGGATCCTCTCCTCCAGTCAAACAGCTGCTTGATAAACCTGAGCCTGTCACCACTACACGTAGTGAGTAAATAGAACAAACAGTTAAAAATACACAATAAATACAGGCAGAAACATTACATTACATTATCTTTAATGTAACTAGAGGTACTGTGAACAATGAGCTCACTAAATGATACCCCCCGCCTCCCATATGGTTATAACTGATGACAAAGTCCATGGTTTGCCATGGCCGGGAAACCCAAAATATGTGTCAGATCAAAAAGTAAAATAGGAGGTGCACAATGGCAATATGTTATAAAGATTCTGTGAAAGTTTCATTAAATTTCACTCAGTGGTATAAGAGGAGTTGCGGATAAGAGATAGGTACCCTAAAGCGTAACAGACGGACGGACGGACAGACGTACAGACGGACGGACGGACGGAATTAACGATTACTATATACCCTCCCGCTTTTCAAGCGGGGGGTATAATGAGGTCGATTATTGACTCACATTTTGTTTAAAGACTATTAGCAAACTCGTTCAAAGTCATCATTTCGTAAATTCTATGGTCGATGTAATGACCTTGTCAGAAAATACAATTTATCATTGAGTCAAACTCTAACTGACATTTTCATACCAATTGTTAGTCCATTATTTATACACTGAAATGACTATAGATTTTCCTGTTATTTCTCTATATTGACAAAGAGCACACGGTGGTTGTGACCGGTCACACCTCCCTGGCACCTGATCCTACCTCTGATATTTCAGAGGTGGTATCTGCTCTGTTCGTATTTCATATTGTTTTATGGATTTGATATTGAATACTGTTCGCTATCTTAATATCCGTCATGTACAAAACAGAGAAAGTCCGTCATGAAATACAATATTAATACATAGCAACAGACTATTTTTAGATATATCACGTAGGTTCGCCATTATTGTTTCCTATGAGCAACAGGAAGGATATATTTCAAAAATGCATTCTTAACTTAATATGTTTAATTTTCTCTTCAAAGACATATTTCTTTATCATTTAATTGTTTGTTCAAATTTATTTTTTTATTTATACACATTCTATTCTTTAGTCGGAGATCTTCTTTCTTTCAGTGGCATGTCCTGTATCTTTTATTCCTAATCTGATTGACTAGAAGTATACAATAAAACTGTCCTATTACAGTGTAGTTCATTCTTTAAAAATTCTCTGATTTAATATTTAAAATTCACCAGGAATAATTGTTGCATTTATATACTTTCAAAAAGCACTACATCTAGTTATGGACCCCCGTGCCAGTGCCTTGGAAGTGATGCGATGTGATTTATGTAAGACTGCTGTGCTACAGATGCACTGTGATACCTGTTTTGTCAATTTGTGTAAGGCCTGTGTGGGAGAACACATCTTATCAAATGAATTCAAGGACCACAAGGTTGTCAAATTTCAGCTAGAAAAATCCACACCACTCTACCCGGATTGTGAATCTCATTACAAAGAACGATGTAAAATGTACTGTAATCAATGTGACATTCCTGTGTGTGTCACCTGCCTTGCTTCTGATCAACATCTAGATCATAAATTAACAAATTTTCTGCACATCCCCAATGAAATAAAAGAAAAGATAATGAAAAAACAAACTGAATTAAAAAATACAACAATTTATCAAATGCGCCAGGTCATTTCCTTTGTTCTTCAAAACAGAAGGAGACAGTTAGAAATGGAATATGAAGATCTCTCAACAGACCTAACAAAACATAAAAAGGACAGGCAAAGACAATTTCGCATGATTTCAAAACGTCATTTAAGTTCAGGCGAAGATGACTACAGCATGAAGACAATTCAGAAATCACCAGAAGCTGAATTCTCTCCTCCAGTCAAACAGCTGCTTAATAACCCAGAGCCTATCACCACTACACGTAGTGAGTATATAGAAGAAAATGTTAAAAATACACAATTAATACGGACTGCGAATCTTATCTTTAATGTAATGAGGTAGATTATTGACAAACAAGGTGATGAAAAAAGAATATCAATAATCTCATTTAAAGTCATCATTTCGTAAGTTCTATGTTATTGACAAACAAGTTGATAAAACAGGAATCTTAGCAGATTCATTTAAAGTCATCATTTGATAAGTTCTATGATCGATTCAATGTTCTTATCAGAAAATACAATTTATCATAGAGTCAAAGGTTAACTGACGTTCTTTATACTAATTGTTAGTCCATAATTCATACACTGAAATGACTATGGATTTTCCCACACTCAGCGGATGTGACCGGTCGGGAAGGGATGCTCACTCCTCCATGGCATCTGATCCCACCTCTGATGTTTCGGAGGTTCGTGTTTACTCTGTTCCTATTTTATATTATTTTATGGATTTGATATTAAATACTGTTCGCTATCTCAATATCCGTCATGTATAAAACAGAGAAAGTCATAAAAAAAAATATTAAGGATCGAGAACACTCGGTGAATACATAAAATGAGAAAATTTCTGAAAAACCATAAAATACTTTGAACTGAGTATTCCAAAGAATGCATGTATTCACTACTATAGCATCGTTGAAGCATACTCTTACTGTAGTCTACACAGGAGAGTACACTTTCATTCAGTGAGAGTCAGAGACATCGATATATTATAATAATTGCCATAAATGTTGACAAACATATAAAAGTTTGATATCTTGACCATAAAAACTTCAATGCGTCAGGAAATTAATACTTTGAGAAATAATAATTCAATTTATTCGTTTATAGTCCTTATTTGTAGACTAGTGCTATCTTGGCATTCTGATTTCGATTTATTTTCATACTACCGAATGTATTCAAATTTCAGCTTGCATGGTAAGTAAAATCACAGTGTCTTAAGTCATGGCAATGTACTGTAAATCACTTTTTATTCGCGAGAACTTTATTTTCGCGTAATTACGCGAGTCTGTCTGTTCGCCAAAAATTTATTCTCGCGTATATTTGTATTACTAATATTTATATAAAACAAAAACCACAACTCGCGAAAAATTTTTTTCGCTTATAAATACCACATGGCTTAGTCGCGAAAATAAGGTGTCGCGAAAATATAGTGATCAACAGTACTTTAAACCGAAACAGCGAATTTACCAATCAAGGGTCGTCTCCAGTCACGGGAAAGTCATATTTATTTATGCCTTGTTTTTAAAATCCCGCTTGGCGCAACAGTTAAATTGTTTGCTATAGAGTGGCGGAGTAAGGAGTTAATCCTTATTTTGAGGGTTCAGATCCAACAAAGGGACTATGAGACCGTTCTATCGGATGAGACCGTATAAACCGAGAATGCTAGCACACAAAACGCCGCCTTATCGTTCAAAGGCATTAAATTACGAGTATAACAGGCTTAAATTTGAAACGACGGAGAACCCCTTTTGAAATATGGCATATTACTAACTTCCGTAAGAAGTTTGTGAAATCAGACATTCAACTTCAGAGTGAGTGAGCCTTATTTCCAAATCATCAATGGATTTGTTGCAAATTTGTGTAAAACCGTTTATCAAAACAACTCTTTTGTTGCTTAAACTCAGTAAGTTATTTTGTAACATGAAAAGAAGAAGGTTTGGTTTTAGTTTTCTTGCGCCCTAAAATGTATTGACATCAAAAACTTTTGAAACTGGCTTAAATATTAGTTAAATAAATGACTCTGATAAATCAGGAAAAAATATGGCATGAAGGTTTACCATTCTGCAAATATGACATCATTAATGTGAAGCAGTTCTCTATTTTCAACAGAAAAAACCTCAAAATGGCACAATCCAAGGGTGATTTTCCTTTAGAAAATAGTGTCCACAGCCGTCGCACACGTTAATTTTTTTTATATTTTGTGCGAAATTCAATAACACATCACATATTTTAAGATCTTTGTGGGCGATGCCTGTGGACAATGTTATCTGAAAGAAAATTCTAATGAAAATTGGTATCTTCTGCAACTTTTTAAGAAAATACGGGAAAATGCACAAAGTCATATTTATGAAGTCATAATTAGCATTTAAAAACACCTGTGAGAAAAATGATTGGTATGACTTTTCTGCATTGAATTTCAATTATTTAAAAATAACATGAGTTTTCAACTTTTACATCAGTTTCATTTTTTAGAAAATCACAGGGCAAAATTTGTATGGAAACCATACCTTCTTCTTTGAATAAAATATTATATAAAAATCGTACAAAGCATCAGGATAAATACGCATGTAAATATTCTATGTCACTTTAAGTTTTCTTAAGAGAAGATGTGTAAATCAGTTTATTTTAACAAAAAATAAACAGAATGAATAAATGAGTCACAGAATAAAAGGTGTTAAAATTTAAAAAGAATTGAACCAATGGTTTAAGATATTTTGGTAATTAAAAGAATTTCAATGGCAAATAACTAAAACATTCAGTATATGACGTTACAATATTTGACCTTTTGATAAAACCTTGACCTTTATAGTACATAAAAAATAAAGACTCCTTTTATATTTTACCAAATATCAGCCTTCAACTATTTATGGAACAAAAGTAACAGTGCATTTAATCACAGACTGTTACATGCTTGTTTATTGCATTTAAATAGCGCAAACTCATTCTAAAATGTAAGCTCTAATATAATGTGTAGACACGTCATCTCTGTTTTGTATTTAAAAAACATTCAAAAGGCATTAAGTTGTAATATTTACATTTGCCAGTGCCTTTCCTTATATGAAAAAACAAATTAAATTAAATATCAATTTTCAAAGACATGCAGTCAGTCGCATAATCATACCGGTATTTTCTTGCGTATGGAAAGCAAACTGCGCGAAACGATTAGAAAGTCTTGAATGTGACGTCATATAACGTCGTATACATACGTAGTGTTTCATTTCTATAACACAGTCTAAATAGAGGACTTTTTCTTTGTAATTAAAATAAAAATAAAAAATAAAAATATAAGAAATAAAATATACAGTAATTTTGTTCAAGTTTCATTGAAATATGACATATGGAGTTGGTATACATGATGAAATCTACAATAACGCACTTCGGGAGTTGTAGAATTTTATGTCTTAATTCATGTATTCATACGGTAGCCAGTATCTTCTTGGACAATGTATTGAATGACAAGTGCCACTTAATCTGTCTGATGACTGCTTTTTATCTGTATTGATATGAGTGTTATAAAAATATTCAAGTTTTGCATAATATATCAGTCAAAACTTTTTTTATTAATAAGACTGTTCCTTATTGTTTTTTTTATTTTATATCCACAAAGTAAAACCAATACAAGAAGTCAATTTCTTACAGTTTATTTTTCCCCTTCCGTCACACTTTTCCCGGAAGACAGAGTCGATGTCTGAATACTTAAAAAATAGGATATTTTTCTTTACCATGTTTGTAACCTTTCTGCTTGTATAAATGTCCATTGAAATCGATTCCAGTGTCATGGTAGCGATTACGACACGGAAAAATCTGAAATCTTCTATGGATATTATCTTTTATATTGAAATCTCGATAAAATATTAATGACACATTAATGAACTCAATTATGCAACCCCGAATACAATGATTTTTTCTTGATTCGATTAGTTACGTTCGTATGTACGATGGTGGTATTTCTCCATTGCGATTCAATCTCAGTTAAGTAACTTTTAAATCAAATTTTTTGACTCTTTAGTTCATTATCAGTTGAATAAATTGATAAAATCCTACATTTACCTAACGCCTTTTCATTATTTTTGCGACAAATGGTCCTATCTTTTATCTTTGGCACGCCACCTGGAAGATGTTTGGACGTTAACAGAGTTTTTCTCTCTGAATAAGGCGATATATTGTCTTTATAACTTTTGTAAAGCAAAAAATCATGTAAATGATATGAAATAGTTTACATTTTTCTTTTCAATTTACACATTGCCCAGTGTACACAATAATGTTTAAAACTGTTTGAAACTATTCCTCACAGACATCTACTCGCTTAAATGCATACTCATACACATACACATAAACTCATACACAGTTTATCTAAATATAACATATAAGTGCAGGATATTTCCTTATTTTGACCTTGAATTTAGATTAGAGTTATTTCATTTTATTTTTAATGCATAAAAAATAAATTTTAAATTTTTTTTCGGTAAAAGAGAATTGCAAATTATAGACAAGCAGGTTGATGAAACAAGAATATCAGCAGTCTCGTTTAAAGTCATCATTTCGTTAGTTCTTTGGTCGAAACAATGCATGACATTGTGTCAAATGCTGACTGACTATCTTCATACTTATTGTTAGTCCATTATTTATACACTGAAATGACGACAGATTTCCCGTTATTTCTCGATCATGAGAAGGAGCCCTCGGCGGATGTGACCGGTGGGCAGGGGATGCTCACTCCTCTATGGCACCTGATCCCACCTCTGATGTTTCAGAGGTCCGTGTTTGCTCTGCTCCTATTTTTTTATTATTGTTTTATAGACTTCGATATTGAACACTGTTCGTTATCTCCATATCCTCCTTGTTTTGAATTGTCATTCTATTAATTATATTTCAATGCATCTTTTCACCACTGTATTTATTGATTTTATTTTTTAAAAAAAACGTCAAAGATTCCAATCAAAGCTTTGTACATTAACCACTGCTTAATTTATGAAATTAATGAAACTTTCTCGAGGGCCATTCTTTCCTACTATAAAATGCTTAAATTCAATATCAGAGTATTTCATACTTGGTGTATTCTAAAGGGTTTGGAATCTGGTCCTATTAGGGATGGAAATCCTTTATCCCACAAACATCATTATTTCTATAAAATACTATAGAAATATTACATCTTGATGAAAAGCCTCTTTGAGTAAGAAAAGAACCGTTTTCATAAAACAAAATCAATAAATATTTCTGTATGAGTACATCTTTGATTAAAATTCACACTGGAGTGATTATTAAT